TATCGTGTGTAGACTAGGTTTTCCGAGAAAATCACACCCCTAGGAAATCTCGTAAACATCAAAAATGTTTCGTCAGTTCCACTCCTGCCTACACACTTTGGTTTTTCAATGCGCACACGCAGCTGACTTCCGGTGTTCCGGTAAAAACTGACGGACAGTTGTCAAGGTTCAATAGAAAAACTTACGGCATGCTCCTTTTGGTTCCTTATCTGGTTATCGATCTTTCTCAAGTGTACCGAGTGGACAATAAGCGCTGCACTGAAAGTCTGAAGTTTGTGCATTGTGGATGGGGACACATGAGTGGTGGAAAGTGGGGCTCAGCTGCTAAACATTCATGGGGGAAAAGAGCCATCGCGGATAAAGATTCGTTGCAAGAAAGCCCCAAATCCTTGTGCAGGAAGATCAGCACCAAGACGGCTACATCTTCCAAAATGCAGAAGTGAACACATCTGAGCACGATATGGGAGTTAGACACAATTAGTATGGACGATCTAACTGAACGAAGTTGCTTTCAGGTGTACTCGAAAAGTTTGTCCACCGCACTAGAGTATGATCCGAATGGACCTGAGCATTCCACAGGAATCAGAGCACAGAAAAAAAGTAAGAAAACGCCAGGCTGCACAACGATATCTCCTGCTCAGACCCCGTACAACCAGGGGACATTTAGCGGTAATGAGAAGTCAAGCTCGTCTACTGCCCCCCCCCCGCGATTGTGAAAACATCTGAACTGCTTGAGCCGGATAGGACGGTGGTTGTTAGTTTCCGACATAAGTTATATTTCACAGAATCAGTGCGTATGCAGGAACTAGAAACAGAGAACGGATAGTATTCCGGTTAGGGTGGGTTCTTATGCAAATTAGCGAACGAAAGACACAGAGGAGGCTGTTCTAGGAGATCCAACAAGTTAAGGCAACCTCACCTTGAAAGACGAAAGCCATAGTATTCGTCTCGAATCAACCTACTCCAGCGGCTTCAAAGTTTCTCGAGTTTCGTAGACGACAGTGTCTAAACAAGGAAGTTACCGCAAACCAAATTACCGGACTTGAATCTGTCACCAGTTTTTTTGAAGTTTGATAAAGTGCGAATAGCGCGCATTCAAGCAAACGCTTTGTCGAATTCGCATAATGAAAGCCGCCATTGAAGCTGGGGAAACGGCAAATATTCCGTTATTAATTAATTCCTTGATACACACCTGACGCGCATTTCACTGGGGACCTGCAGAAGGGTGACCTTCAAATTGGAAAGAGGACGGCCCTTTTACTGGTTTAAATTTTGTAAATTCACATATGTCGTCTTCCTAACAATTATCATAAGGTTATTAACGAATTTTCATCATAAATTGACACCAGCGTTGTTGGTTTGAATCTATAAAAATAAATCTGTCAAACCCCAAATGTGGCAAGACAATCAAAACAGCTTTTTGAAAGTATGCGCTGAGTGAACAACGGTTTTGTTGCGACAGTGAACGGCTGATGTCACAACGGCACGGTGACGCGGTTGAGTGCAATCACGCGCGCACGTGACTTTACCAGACAGCTGAAGATAATTGTGGCGGTTGTGATAAGAACGAGGGTAGCAAGCAAATCTTGGGTTTTATGGCTGCCCAATTACGATCTGAATTGACTGCGACATAACCAGTCTAATTCCGCGACCCATGTACTCGTTCCTCTATCATTTTACTTACAAACCCATGAAAGTGTGATTTCGGGTTGGTGCCACATTTGTGATAGGTAAACCAAGATGACCAGATGGAAAAGGCGAACTACCCGCTCACTACCCGCGTTCTCATCGACATGATTTGATCCTGTGGTGTCTGGTTGCCCGCCAGCAATCTGTAGTGCGGTGAAGTTAAAAGCTAAAATGAACGTTGTGAGTATCCTAAATTATTTTTTGTGCAGTCTAAGTATTTTCAAATCAGCCAACGCATAGAGCGAAATCAACTTTGAGGATCTCAAACGTGTTATTCAACGTGCTTAGGATAGTTGTAACTGTGAGAAGGGAGTGTGCGCAAATGCCCTCAGTGAATTCATGCTGCGTGCAATGCGACATCATTCCGGGTTTACGGCTTCCACACATGAGAGTGAAGCCTCCGTGGGGGTTCAATAGGCCCGCTAGATTCATCCGATGGATGTTCGGCGGAGCAAAGAGTTCGGTATCGTGATTTCCAACTCCATTAGCTGCGCAGCTAAGCTACAGAGAAGCAGTGGGTATGCAATGGGTCTATTTTGTTTCGCAATGAATGTATATCGCGGAAACGATTGGCGATTCGGCAGGAAGCACAAAGAGTACCAACCAGTACAGACGTTTCTCTCGCTGACCGCATGTGTTCCAAGCAAGCGTATCGGAAGGTAACCCATCCTAAATCATGAGTTTGACAAATACCACCATGCGATATTTTATTGCCTATGGAGCTCTGTCCTGTAAGTTCATCTCTTCACTGTAGATCAGATGCTTGTTGATCCTTTCACCGATCTTGGTAATTTGCTTGCAAGCTTTCCATCAACATTCAAATGCTCGCCCAACTAGGGATGAAGAACAATCTAACCGTCCAAAGGAACTGACTATATTCCGATGTGAAACCAAACAACGGTCGAGAACAAAATTGGGTGTTCGGATATCAAGACCACGCTTCAAAGAAAACAAGTGGATTTGGATCACGTGAGCAACGTTCTGTCACATGATAACCATAGACAGACAGATCTTAGGAACATTGAAAATGGCACCACCTAAACATACGTTTCCCACCTCCAAAGCGAATCCTGCTCACTTGGAACTCTCGTCACCTTGTCCCTTTCAAAAGTCGAATTAACAATACCGGGTGCTCCGTGATCAGCTCACATACGTTGTGGCTGCATTGGTGTACTCTGACGCATGAGGTCAATGTACATCTTGAGAGCATAAAGAGCATTACCCCATTTCGAGAACGAATCATGTACAAACTCAAGACCCATGTGTACAAAACAGACTCACTTAGTAACTGAGACATGGACTTTGCTCTGGTCACCAGTGCTTTCGTATCATTGTAAGGGTTAACAAGTGAACATTAAACGAGTACTGTGTAACCATCCGGAATAACCAGATTAGCAGAGCATGCCAGCTGCAACCTGTATGCTGAGTAAGCCTAACTATACTCCATCGAAGTTGTTCCACCGATGAGAAGTTTGTGGGGAAAGGCCATTACATCTCAGCGCGAAACAGACCGACTCATCCTAAGCTTAGCGCCGTGTAGTCTTGGCGCTATGCACACATGTTGGACACAAGGAACGATCACAATGATGCACTTGACTTCTCAGTCCGACTGTCCAGCGAACACTTGTCGTGCAACGCCCTTGGGTTGCGTGAGCTCCCTTGAGGCTCATTAATTAGGTACAGTTCTCGACCTTCCTCCAACTTCATGTTCTATCTGTGCACAAATTGGATGCAGTTCGTCAAATACTGATTTGCACACTAGTTTGGTTTTAACGGAGGACCCCACTGGATTCCAGCTCAACCTCTCGCTCATAATTTCCTACTGGTGAACAAACGCCACATCGCGAAAAACAAGGTTGACAGGACGTTTGGACTGTGCCCGGAAGCAGAACCAATCGTGGGCTGCTGAACTTCAGCAACTAACAAACGCCACATCGCGAAAAACAAGGTTGACAGGACGTTTGGACTGTGCCCGGAAGCAGAACCAATCGTGGGCTGCTGAACAGTTTTCAGCAACTTTATAGTGTTCCCTTGAGAAAAGGCCCCTGCAACTTTCCTTTTCACTAGCACTTTCCTCATGATCCAATGGTAAGCAAACACAGATCTCGTAGTGATACGTTGTCACCTGTGATGATAGACCGTCAGATTAATTTCGAACCAAATGCAATGCAGACCATACTAAACGCGGCCTGGTCTGGAACTAGCTGGAAATCTTCACTATGCTGTTTATCAATAATCTGTTGCAGAAAGCCACTGAGCAGAACCATCCGAGGTATGCAACACCACTTGAATGGTGCCGACCCAAAGGTTCACCAGTTTCAATATCGTGCTATCCCGCTGATTGGTATCCGAGCAGTTCATACTTGTGGATAGGCTGAAGAACCGCCAAGAGGCCAAGATACCAGCCAGTCTGAGACTCAGAGGCCTGACTACGACGAAGCGGTGACTGGCGCGGGCAGCAGAGAACAAGGAGCCACACGTTCCTGACTCAAAGGTCAGGAGTGTTAGCCTCTGATCACGACCGCCACCAAGATAAGGCCCAACCACTTCGCGACGGACTGCATTAGACATACAGACCATGTACATTAGTCTCCTGCTCTGAACCGTCAGTCGAATGTTCGAAGTATCTTCCAGGAGTCGCGGTTCAGGATGTTGGCGTCCTACGGTGGAGGTTAAAACATCAACTACGGAAAGGGGCCTAGCATTGTGGGTTTCTGCACCTTTAGACACGTACACAGGTGACTCACACGGGAGTTGACGCAGCGCCACCTACAGCAGTAATGGAGGGAGCTTGCACTTTACTGCCAGTTCCGTAGTTAGGTGATCCCACTGTTCGGAGATTCCCGTAAACGAAAGCTGGTGGCGAGCAGAGGACACAACTCGGAAAAGTAGTAGGGATAGCTGTGCAACTCGTCACGTTACCTCTTCGCCGATCTAAGGATAACTCACCATCGACAGCATGACATCAGTGTTCAGCACCGATGCTTCACCGCCGTAAGGATAACTCGTGCTGACTGGCGTTTTGCCAGCGCATGGGAAATTTCAGACGATGTCAGGTTAACACATCTAGGTAGCATTAGTAATAATCATGTGCAGGATATTCCTATCATTCTATCATATGGAACAGCATAACTCAACTTACGGACGTATTGCCGCCCTAACTGGGGATAGCTTTGAAAACTGAATCATCTCAGCTACCGCTTAGATACCCATACGACCCTTACCTCGAGCTATATCAACAAAAAGCGTTTTCCGGTTCGAAAAGTAATCTCGACCGACTGTGTCTCTCTAACATCCAAATAACAGCTTCCGGAAAATCCGTCACCGGTAAAGATCCCTGTTTATGAAACAACTTTTGAAAAAGCCTTAAATTAAAATGATCACCGGTCACTTCTGAGTTCAATAATTTCCAAATGTTAAGAAAGATGATCAGCGTACGGCTTCCCGGCAGAGCTGGTGCGAAACACCGACCACTTCAAAAGAGAACACAGTATACGGTCCGGCATTTGTTGAACAGATATGCTTTCCATCGGTAAACATCGCGTATAACATGAAAAATCAAACCAAACAGTTACTGTATGCGGCTCAGTGCAAGCTTCTAACCTGGTCTCAATGGAACAGGTGCGACGGACAGAAACTTGATGCGCCTGCTAGGTTAGATCAATAGGCGGGAATGCAGAAACCAAAATCGACAGATACAGCAACCACAAGAGCATGACTGAAAATGACTTTCGATGGCAATACTCCGGGGTAAACCACGTATCAGCACTCCGATGAAGGCTCTTCGCTTTTACAAAATGGAATGAGGGTAAAAATCGAAATATCGCCAGCCGAGATGGAGTTCGTCAGACGTTGAGGACAAAATCTAAGTGAGGACTGGCTCAAAATATGTACAGGGTAGTCGAACAAGGAAACTACAGGTGCTGTTGTGCAAAACACGAAGAGAAATTCAGGATAATGGGGGATGGATGATCGATCAGCGACCTAGGACGACAGCCGCTGTGTAAGGAAAAAGAAAGACAAGGTTAACAAGGTAGACGTGCTGGATTCAGTCGCGTCCAGGAAAATAAAGGTCCACATGCACACGGAGAAAATCACAGACAAGCAGACGACTTCAAGGATGTGGAGGGCCTGCTACCGAGAGTTGATTCTGAAGCAGCCTGTTTGTCGCAACGGACAGGAAGTGGAGGACGGACCAAAATTTCTCAGGCAGAGCAAAAAGGCAAGTGGGCACACATACGCACCGAAAGACAGAGGTGAAATGAAACAATACAATCATACCAAAAATAAGGAGTGTAGACCGGGCAACTGAACCCGAGAAGGGCCAACCAGATGATACCTACAAGTCAGGTAGGTAGAGATGTGGTCAACGGGGCAGTTGAAAAAAAAACAAAGGCTAGATAATCATGCGCACAGCATATCCGTAAGGGGAAGGCAAGCTCCCATGGACGAAAAGTAGGGAAGACAAAAAGTGCTAGACTCACAGGCAACAGCCAAACGAAAATTGAGGTAAAAATGAGGGTTTTAAACAAATTTCCGATAAATAAAAAGGGGGAGGCAAACAGCCAAGGCAACCGTAATGATTTGTATACAGACCTACTGCAAAAGAATCTAGGATGAAAGGATAGGTGAAAATCAACATACGGACACAAGGGGCCTCGGAGCAAAATTGGTTAGAGGGTAGGAGGTAGGGAATTCCAAAATATGGGAAGAATGAGCGAGTGGCGCCGAAGTTGATCAAAATAAGAGTAGTGCCGCCGCATGAGGGAAGATGCAAAATGGTAGAAAAATAGAAAGTACATTGAAGGAATGGAGTCAGTCAGTCAATGAACCACAACCGCACCAGTGGCTGGATAAATGCAAAATAGCATACAGGAGTTGGGGATGAGGAGGAATCCGTCTCAACAATGACAAATGAGTGAATGAATAAATTACGAGCTGAACAAACCAAGATTGTTCGGTGAGATTTCGGAGACCAGGCATCGAACAGTATGCAAGAACTAATGTCCAACGGGAAAACATGGTGAGAGAACAATACCCGCTACAAAAGCGTGTGAAGCATTATGAACCTTCATTGATGACAATCAATCCGTAACGGTGATTTAGTTGATGAAATCCCACAGAACACGGTATTTGGGACGACTAGCAAGGATCGCTAGTGACAGTATGCAGTAACTATAATGAAACACTGCAAGCACAAAGTTAGTTATCATGGGGTGATATAGGCTAGAAGTCGAAGCCTTCTTGCCGGACAACACCTTGGCCACCAACACCAGTAGATTCCGGAGCCGCGTTGAATTCAAAAGTGGTGGATTCCGTTGGCATTCCGTTACCGTCAAGGGGTCTCTCATCACGCCCAGTTGTGCTGCCATCATCATTCATCTAGCAAAGAAATGAGGTAAAGTGCAGAGATTAGCAAATCAAGCAGTGGATAATTGAGTTCCGTAATGAACTGCGTCAAAGAACCATGTTGAAAATTATAAAACCCTTCTAAAAAAAGTCTATGTTCTAGACAAACCATGGCTAGTCAAACAACGAAAGCCTGTGATGCACCTCAATCACCTGCGTAGAGCCCGAGATATGAGGTTTAGCTGTAGAACCCTCTCGGTGCCTAGCTGCCATGCCACCAGAGGGAAGCACGAGGGCTGGGATACTGCCAGGTTGCTCAAGCCTAGACATGGGAAGTCGAGATAACCGGCGGTCCGAAACCAAAGTTAGTTTTTTTTTAGTGCTGCTACCTAGGCACTGGCAACCTGTCAGCAGCTCATCCGGAGTGCTCCACTTAGACTACACGGTGGCTATGCACCGAAAAGGTTACGACTGAAGAAATTGTGAAACCGCGAAACGGAGTTGAATCAAAGGACTCCAATCCGCTCTATCAACTTGATAACGGGATCTATGTGGTGAGTTTTACTGGAGGACCCCATCCGACTCAGTGATATCTTAGCGCGGGGATTGAAACATGGAAGTCTAACTCTTAATCAAATCATACATCAAACTTGATTCCTGAGCAGCGGCAGCAGTTGTGACGATCAACTGTTGGCCAACCGGTGTGTGGTTTGCGGAACCGACCTTTTCGAACCGTTGTTGGCACGGTATTCAGCTGGACGAGAATACAGTAATATACTGGACATTTGCACTTACTCCCTCGCTGAAGTAACGTTCAATAATGTCATATGCCAGACGGTAGATGTCCATGTTCTGATGTTCTTGGAGCGCTTCTATAAGGTCCAATCCACCACATTCCTCAATCATCCCAGTCACTTGGTCCCGATTGTCACCTGCTGCCGCGAGTATATTTGACAAACCGTCGAGAACTACTTGGACGACCTGAGTGTCGCGGGCTCCAAGCATGCGACACAACGGTGGAATAACGTTTTGGTCGATCACGTAACGGACCTGTGTCGAAAAATTACAGGGAAATATGCAAAATTAAGTAAAAAAAAACGTTAAACTAGACAATCGCAAGTGTCATGAGAAAGCGAAATGTTTGGTGCATTGTTTACCGAAACCAGGGAGTAAACTCATCCTACCTTCGTTTTGAGAATTCAATGTTAACGGGTGGTAGACGCACGTTTACCGTAGGAAACGTCATGACCCTTGCATGTGACTGGTTTCGGTTGCAACCAAACTGTCGCTCGCTAGTCCGACTACCCGGCTAAACGTTCCACGTCGTGTGCTTAGCTCATTTTAGCAGTTTGTGGAGATATATTTGCCAAGCTTGGCTCGGTTTCTTTAAGGGGCATGATACTTTTAGTGAATCTATTTTTCAGTGGACAGGCGCCGTTGCTAACTACTGGTGTACGGTTGCCCATGATGGCGGTGATAAATACGGATGAAAACCACTCGTAAAAGATGGTGAAGTGCGATAACCGTTCACGCAACCCATACTGATCAGTAACATTGTGAACACAATAGTTCGTCACAAAAAACTACCGACGATTTTAGCAGTTTTAGCTCTTTATGATAACCACTAGTGGCTTTTTAAAAAAAGCAAGAGCCGAGGGTATCCCAAAGTAGACACTACAAGGGAAGAAACTGTACAACACAGAACCATATTTTATCAAGAACGCTGCTAAAGCAATCAGACACTTTCGCTAGTGTAACGATTTATTATATGCTGTACACACTAGAGGACTATTCGTTTTTCCTCTGCAGGATGACGACTGTAAGCGCTTACACCACTCGCAGAGTAGCACAGGCTTCCAACAAACAAGCGGTATATGAAATAATCTCCTCTAATGAGGTGAACAAAGTTTGAAGAAAGCAACATTGTGTTCTTCGGCCCAGTCGCGCACTCAATGGCGTTGGTGCATCCAAGCTATTGCCTTCAATGCGTAGCTCCATTCCCCATCCCCCCAGTTGAAAGTCCATTTAGAGACGTCTACTTATGTAGCAATTTATCAGCTCCCGCCTCCAATGCGTAGCTAACCACCTCATCTCCCCAAATAATCGATGGACGAAATTGTGGTAGCTACAATCACTGTACGACAAGTATGTAGTCTTTACAGCTGATAATGATGACTGGGTAACAGCTATTTGATCTTTTCTCTTCTCCCCGCGCTTTCCTGGGATCCTAAAATAATGAATGTTCATTCGACAAAAACTTATCTCAATGCAACATACATTACAGGCAGCGGGAATGAGGAGCCATACAGACAAAACTAACCTGCTCAATATTGCCATTTATCGTCAAATTGGAAATTGCCCAGGCCGCCTCTTTCTGAGTCAGGAATTCGCTTTCCGAAAGGTGATGGATGATCATCGGTACCAACCCATGATCAATGACAGCTTGCACTTGGCTCTGATTCCCCGCAGTAATGTTGGACAAGAACCAAACTGCTTCCTTGTTAATCTTGTCGCGTGGGTGGTTAAGCAACCCCGGAAAATGACTGAGGGCACCACAGTCTAAAACTACTTGTGTTTGTGGATCCGATCCCGTGACAATATTCCCGACGGCACGCAGAGCGGCAGTTTGAACCTTGAAGCTCGAGTGGGAGAGTAGCGGAACCAGATGTGGAACAATTTCTGCATTGATTACCATCTCGATCTGTTCATTACCACCATCCGTGAGATAGGATATTGCCCAAACCGTATCCACCAAAATCTACATACAATACATAAGGTATGCAACAAACAATGAACCCGGGCATCAACAACGAAAGCACAAGACGTACACAAAAAATTTCGTATGAGAGGAATAAGACAGTGTTTACATAGTATGTAAAAGAGAAAAATAAATTGACCACGATATATGGGAGTGTGTCTGACTGGGCCTCTAGTCAGATAACCAGTTGGTTTAACCGACAATCGAGAACAGAGAAAAGTTAATTTAGGAAACCCCTGGCCACACAGTTGACACGTCTCCAGTTAACACTAGCGGTAGTACCACAGAGCTTAGCCAAGTGCTATATAAAAATCGCGTTATCATCATCATCGGCAGCAACAGCAGCGGAGAAGTCTTCACTACCATATCAGTTTGTTTGCATGACTGCTACGATCTCGGCTGCAACACTGTGATTAGACCCACAAGGTACGAAACACACAACTTCGAGGTAATGTGTTGGACCCTCAAGGTGTGCACCCAGGCAACACAAACCACAAGGTTGAAAATATCAATTGAATTTATGCAACAACTATCATATCAAGAAAAATACTTGTAGCGCAGCTTATTAGCACGTAGGTGAACTTATACCGGATCTCCATCTAAGAAGAATCGTTCTTGTCAGGGTTTTCCACTTAGTGCTGTCTTTTGTCATAAGCAAAGTGAGCAAACTGTGGAAAACCTAGAGCCAATGGGGGCCTCCACAAGCAGCACAATAGGTGAGCGTCAAGATATCCGGAGCACATGGAGAGCGAATACACGGGTAGTAGATCCAGGAAAGCTTAGGACGTCGAGGCACAGAAAGCAGGCAAAAGCGAATAAACACGCATTGTAGATCAGGTTTCGTTTAACACCAGTAGAGAAGTGTCTGAATCAATTTTGACAGCAGCTCAGAGGGCACGAATTCTAAGTTTGTGTTGGTGTTGCTTGACACCAAAGACCTTCAGAAGTCTGAGTGTTTGACACGCAAAGGAAAGTGTTGGGGCCTCAAAAAACATTCTCAGGGAGAAAAAGCGGATCTTTTCAAGTCGACATTAGCGTACAAGAGATGCGAGCTACGAGGGGAGATAATCCGGAGCGCAAAATCAGGATAAACGAGGTACGGCCTGCACTAGAAATCATGTATCAAAAAAAAACGAGAGACGGACGGAGGGACCCCTACAAAAACCGGTCAAGTGTTTTTTATCCACTTACGGTTCACTCAAAATAGTATATTTGATCGATTATGCCATAAAATGCGTATGGAGAAAACGCGTCATAAAGATGTAAATCAAATTATGAGAACTCTAAACATCTAGAGTAGAGAGATACATATTAGCTGAACACACTGAAACTCAGAACGATAATTGTGCATCCTGGGGTAATTACTCAAAGAGATTCGCGGTTGGTAGCATCATTTCCAATCCTCATCTCATGTATACTTTTATTTGAGGACAGCTCGATGATTAAACTGCTACTTTCTCTGAGGTCAGCCAATGTCAAGATCCTGCGGAATCAGTCCGTATATGTCCTGTGACAATCAGTTGGTGGCATCATTGCTGCACGGGAATTCGTTAAGCCAGCTTGGTCACGACGTTGTGGTGCTTTTTCTTTTTTCTTCTTCTGCAAGCAAATCCCTTCTGGAAAGGAATATTCATTGAGACAGTATTTTGTATAAAAAGTTAAGCTTGTTCTCCGATTAGGGTGGTAGCCCTAGATTCAAGCCGTCTGGGCTTGGATAACCTGGCGATACCTCGCCCTCGTGCTTCTTTGGGATGACAGCTGAAGGGTTCAACAGCTGAACCATTTTAGAGGGGGCACGAAAGCAGCATTGTGAAATCTTGGGAGTGGAATTCTTTAAAAGAATTTCGCACGCATATATGACAGTAAATTCAGAAGGATATGTGCTCTCTAGGGAGATTACTGCTCTACTCTACTATAGAGGCCACTATCACAAAGGGAGAACTTTTTACTGGTCCATTGAACTGTCAACTGAGAGCGTTTGGAACCTGTCCAAACTAGACCACGCCTGTTGGGTCAATTCACATTATCTCGTAGTCCACCCGTGATACCCCTTCAGTGCACAACAGCCGTGACACCCGAAGGAAGCACATCTCATTACATTACCTCAAACGCAATAAGACTGTAATCAACCTATCTAGCCAGGTTGAGAACGTATTTAGGAATCAATCGGCTGATCAAATGAGATAACCCAACTATCCTGATGTTTCGGAAACCTGGGGGGTGGTCACTCAAAAGCCACTGACTTCAAACCAACGGGGGTCAAAATGGTTTCAACCGGCGACTAGTTTCTCTTAAGTGAAAGCTTGTTTACAGGACTATTACAATGCCTTCCATGCTTGGAAGATAAATGAAAATAGCATCCAAGTTAACAGTACTACGATTTGTCGTCCAAACCACATCTTTGAAGTGAGGAGATATGAGAGCGAAAACAGCCTGGGTTGAAAGGCTCTATCCCAGTGTTGCTTGAACGTGTGGGTTGTCCAGTGTGACAAGGTACCAGACATTCGACAGACGCGTCACACGAGTGCGGTAGTACGAAGTCTCACAGAAACCTGAAGGCCACTTTTGTTTGTGGCAAATATTGTAAACCATGGAGAGTAATCGTAGACCAAAAGGAATGTTAAAAAAGAAGTACCCATGGCATAAACAAAGGTTCGTGCAACAAAATCTGGGGGGAAAACATCATCATCATCATCATCAATGACAGCAACATCAGTGTTCGCACTGATACTTCACTGCCGGGAAAACAACAGAACTGAGGTTCGAAAAAAAACATTACATCGCGAAAACCATAGAGGCAACGAGGAAAACTCACACTATCATCAGTATGTTTAATCAAGTATAGAAGCGCTGGGAGTAGCTCTTTTATCGCCGCCGGTGGAGGTGGTGGGTCCTTGTTGCGACATAAATTCACCATCACCCAAGTGACATTGCGAAGAAAGTTAAGAGGAATATTCGGTGTCAGAAGTTTCAAAAGCGGTTTGATGACCCCGAGTTCGATTACATAGTCGCGCAGTGTGGGCCCGTCTCCGATTATATTGCCCAATGCCCAAACAGCTTGTTCGCAGACATTTGGATGCGGGGACGACAATAACTTCAAAAACAATGGGACGGCACCAGAGTGGACCACAGCGATGGTCTGAGCCGACGTACCGGAAGCGATGTTTGTAAGGGCCCAAGCAGCTTCAAACTGAAGATTTGGACTGGAAAATAAACACGCAGTTGTGTCAAATCACAAAATTGTAGACTGATCCACAAATGACGACGGACAGGAAGGACGACCACAGAAAAGCAAGTCCAAATATGGCGTTAATGATTTATCGTAACAGCAGTGGTTTGGCTGATGAGATACCAAGGACACAAGCTAACAGGCCTAATGGACTAATGAGCAGGACCGTCATTCTTGACCATTTATGCCACATATGCCACATAAAAAAACCATTGAGCGATACTACCGCGTGGCCTTTTCGGATGTGTGGAAAATCCCACGTACCACCAGCAATCGAACAAATCAAGTGGATCTTATGACTGTAAAGGTGCTGGGTAAGTAAGTTTGCTATGACTGTTAACTGCCACCTGACCGAGAGTGAATGGTAATTACTCATCGCAGTGATGGCACACATATTGGACATCCATCATTCATGACCAATTTGGCGTAATACAGAGGAAATAATGGATTATATCAAAATTGCGTTACAAAAAAATTAGTGCCAATGCTTAAAGTGCCATCATGCTGAAACCAAACGGAGACCCTTAAAGCGACTTCTGCTAACTCGTCAACATTAACAGCCAATGCGTATAAATGAATACGGCACACACCATTCACGGTGACCATAATCCAGCAACATTAAAGTTGCTAACCTATCGTATCGTGCAAAGAACGGCAGTTGCATTGGAGGATGTTATGGTATCACTACCGCCATCAGAGACAGCGAAATCTGTATTGACACCGATACCTCACTACCGTACAACCAATTTATTCAATTGTATTAAAAGCCTTCGGGTGAAAAGGGTGGGTGAGGGAGGGAACGGATACAAGCCTACCTAGGCATTCTGAGGCACCCATATCTCCAAGTACTCAACCAAACAATTGAAGAAACTGACAGCGCGAGCGCCACAGCTACTGCAAGACTGGATGGGCTCGAATCCTAGCCTCATGCTTGCGGATGAACCGATTGAGGTAGTAGACAAATTTGCTTACCTTGGAAGCTGTATCAGTCCCAGTGGTCTGGCGAAAGATGATATTTCTATCCGGATTGGGAAGGCCAGAGCAGCCTTTTCGAACCTACGTCACCTGAGGCGTAGCAGTGACATCAGCTTCTCCGTCAAGGGTCGAGTTTACAATGCTGCAGTGCGCCCCATAATACCACATGGATCAGAAACCTGGCCGCTGCGCGCCGAGGACGTCAAAAGACTT